AGATTTTCAGTACAAATCGGCAATTTCATACTTTAACCCCTATTATAATGTTTCTCTGTTCGGAACGCGGCAGATTCTCCAATACTTTAGTTACGAGGCGCAGTAAGATGATGCGGAAATGCCTGCTTTACTTCTGAGAGGTGAAAGTCAGCGTAAAGTTCAGCGTCAATGTAAGTGAAAGTAATTGTATTTTCTGAAAAATAATACCTTCTTAGGTAACTTTAGGTCCTCTTGGTACACATCGCTAACATCTATCTTGAGGGAGACGGCAGGGCCCATGCGAGTGATCCGTACGTCTGTCCACGTGTTAGCAGGCAGAGTGCGGTTTGAGGTTAGCACTACAGGTGAACCTATCGAATCAACAGGAAGCATGTATATTTTTTGCAGCATTTCTAAACTATTCCAAATAATTTTTCTTTATATAACATCAAGTGACGAGACGAACAAGTCGTACGCCTGATGGTAAGCTACACGCGTGTCCATAACAGTTACAGTGCCAATAAGAGCTTTAAATTGCAAAGATCTGAGGGGCACTACCGCTGCGCCCATCACCCTGAGACACAAACATACATAACGATGTAGTCAAACCGGCGAGCGGTAAAGCAGAGCGTTACAGTAGATTAAACGAAGTGGTTCATTACGATCTTTAGATATGTCCATATGCACTCAACTGAAATCCGTCTTAAGCCAATGCTTGCAATGCAAACAACACTCTTACCTTATACATTCTGTTAAGAGTGTGTTATCAATGCTTAAGCATTGGTTTAAGATGTACATAAGTTTAGTGAAAGTAGACATGAGCGCTATAAACAAAGTAAGGCAGTAATATGTTTTAGTGTCCTAAATTGGTTGTGTTACAATATCACGACAATGTTTCCATTTTATTTATTTATTTTTAAACAAGCCACATCGAAAAGGGTCCATTGAAAATCAGCTCTGTGGCTCCGCCGTAGTATTAGCTGAGTTGGGCCCTTTTCAGTGCAATACACTTTAAGCATAAAATCATAATATTGTACTTGTAACATGCGTTTGTGCTGCATTAATTTATTTTATTTTCTTTCATTTTGGTTGTCAAATCCGACTACCAAACTCTTGAGAACGCGACTCATAGAAATCCTTGTCAAAATCGAAATACCGACATTTCATTTTTCGACATTCAGAAGTACAATTCAGACAAAATTCGTTAATTATTCTTAGTTAAGAATAATTATATCTAAATGATTCACACCGTCAAAAGGATAACTACATACCGTCACCAAGGTCATAGCGGAACTCGAGCCTGCCGTTTCGCACTGCGAGCGATATGAATCCTCCATAACCATGTGCAGACTCCGCACAGTACATGATGATCCCGTCACTGACTGGCGCCGTTGGCTTCACTTTCATGGACATACGGAATGTTCTTGAAGATTTCGGAGGCTTTATCGCAAGGTAGGCGCTGCCTGTAAACGCTGGGTACTCGATCGACTGCTTGGCTTCGCAACTGTTTGAAAATGATATCAGAATTGTATGTCATATAATATCATTATTTTGAATTGCTAGTAGCCGTTGACGTAAAGATTTGAATTACGACCCAATTCTCTAGTGTGTAGAAAACTGTTTTGACAATTTTATTGAGAACTTTCAATTGACAAGGTTCACCAAGATATATAGGTAGATAGATTTTATAGAGAACACAAAGGAAACTCACTTTCTACCCGTGTAATTGACGGGGCATGCACATTTGTAGCCATCAGTGGTGTCGGTGCACTTGCCTAGCCCGCAGACACCAGGGCGGCATGCTTCCCCGGTGCGGTCGCAGTTGTGGCCAGCGAATCCAGCCGAACAGAAACATATGTATCCGCGCTCATTACGAGCTTCCTATGTAAATATAGTAAAACAAATTGAGATAAGGCCTAAAAAACATAGAACCAAAACGTTACTTGGTGACATGTAGTTTTGATCAAACTATATTAGGACATGCAGTATTGCTTCATCAACGTAGTAATAACAACCCGTAAAGTCAAAAAAATGTTATAAAGTCCTGATGAGATACGCAGAATTTCTTCTAGATGTGTTATAAGACGCAACAGCAAGAGATATCACGAAACCGAACACGTAAAGGCATAATTGGCATTTTTATGTGTCACTTAACACATACAATATTCACTATTATGCAGAGATCCTATTAAATTTCACGATCGCGCTGCTATAGATGCCTTCGTTAAATATTGCTTACGTAATATACATTTTGGACTATGAGATGGTGGACTCGAAATTTACGTTTGTCAGAAATATATGCGTGTGGCCTGAAATTTATTATTTAGAATTCTGCGTAGTTTGGATCGAAATTCACTTTGATAGTTTATAAAGATGTACACGTACTTGACAGACGCCGTTATTGAGGCAGAGGTTCGGCGTACAGGAATCGCATTCTCGCACGGCATACCGATCTGTACTGTCCACCATTATGTTCTTTTCTTCCCGGCCGAGGATTAACATGCTCACGCACCCGAAGAAGCTGTTAACATAAACATGTAATAGACAATGAACTTCTTAACTAGAATTAAGCTTTTAATATAGGATAGAGGCTTTTTAAAAAAAAATGTAACTAATAGGTAAATTGAAGCCATTGACGTACATACGTATTATGGTTTTTTTATGGTTTGTCTATATTACTTTATGGTTTCAATACTAAAAATAGTTTTAATAAAATACCACTTGCCTATAAAAGTTTTGTAAATGTACACAAGCGGTATTTTATTATATAGAAATTCTGTTCTGTTGAACATTATGCGATACCTCAGACGTAAGTTATTGTAAGTCAAAACACAATTTTTTGATCATTTTTTATGCATATTATAGGTTTCATATTGAAAAGTAACAAAATCACTTAATGTTATACTTAAATACTTTCAAACATGGAATCTATAACATACATAAAAAAAGAATATAATTATTCAACATAAATAGCAAAAAATGGTATTTTGACTTGCAACAAATTACTTGTGAGATATCGAGAAGTTTTAATTATACAGAATAATTGTAGCGAATACCACGATGTCATAAAATGAAATTTATTTTCGTATCTTTTCAAGAAAGCTGTAGAACAGTCTAATAATACATTGCTATCTGTTTATATGTGCAAATACCGCGTATGACAATGAACACCTCTTTTAAGATTTAAGTGCCATATTCAGTTCAGGCTATGAAGCCAGCGAGCCTAAGTAGTTTATTGTACTTATCATATATTCTCTGTATGTAGATAAGTAAGCAATTAATTTGGAAATACCAGGTAGTTTCGTAGGTAATTAAATATATAAATTAATAAATCATGAACCAAATAAAAGCTGATGCTGTGCCATGTACAGAGTAATACCGTGCTTACCCCGAAGCGCCAGCAAGTTCAGCGGGTAATTGGTTGTAATCGGGCACTCCTCCAATGTACAGAGGTTGGGCGAGGTCCAAAATATCCCACCGTTCCAACGACTCCGCAACGAATGGTCCAGTGTTATCGACGTCCATTGTCACTGCAGTTTTATTTCAAAATTTACTCAAAGCATACTGCGGATCGTAGTGCTTTTTATGAAATAGACGACAAATCTTGAAAGAGTTGATTTCGTACGTAAAATAATGGGTATAATATGGAATATAGAGTATTTGAGTCCTTTGCATACTATGCTATAACACTCGTGTACATACGTTTGGAATTAGTCTTGCTAAGACGAATAGTGTGCCAGGTGTTGAGTGGCAATGGTCTGTCGCCCCTAACAATGAGCGGGCCAGAGCCGGTGTCGATCACGAACTGCGGGACACCGTCCAATAGTTGAAGTGCAATGTAGTCGCCTGTACGATCATAGTTTTGACTGTTGTACAGTATCAGACCGTTGGAATCTGCGGAAAAATATCTTCATTTACCATTTGCAAAATACAAAATCAATTTCGCATACAAACCGATGGATAAAATTTTAAAAGAAATCAGATGGTTATTTAATTTTGAGTTTACTTACCACTGGGTTTGAAGGATATTTCGATATCAAATTGTCTGTAGGCGTCTTTCAGAGTGGGGAGCGACAGCCAGCTTTCACCGCCGAATTGTGGAACAACACCTTCCACGCGCAGGATCGCACGCGCCTCGGTCGCGGTACGTCTGTTGCTCACGCGACATACGTACGCACCCGCGTCCGCTTCCGTTACTTGAGCCAAGTGTAGATTTTGCTATGAATGAAATATTGTTTCATATAGACACAATTTGAAACCAAAGACAGTCAATAACAATAATAAAACCTTAAACCAACACATCAGCTTACAATGCCACTTAGTTCCTTCAAGTTTCCCATCTACTGAGATGTAATATTATCCAAAATAATCTTATGCACATATTATTTGCCGTAATATGATATTGTAATCGTTTTGTATCGTACCTCGGTAGTTCTCGTATCAGGAGGAAGCGATGTGTATTCTCGTCTCCACTCGTACTGTACGGGTTCATCGAGGTTATTATTGCAAGGGAGATCCACGACGCGTCCAAGAGCGACAGTGTACACCGTGTCTTGCTCGTTGATCGGCTGCGGTGGACTAATTGATACTGGTAGACAAAATATATATAGATAAAATAGTGTTACTGTTATACGCATAATTGTTCTCCTTTTTTTTGCTTTAGGAATTTAAGGTCTGTAACATCAGCTAAGCTACTGCATTATTCACTCTTCTTTGTAACGTGATAAGATTTTATTAATAAATTATATATATAAATTCAGTTTGAAGTCAATGGGCACGTCTGAACGACATGCATAAAGTCATAATTTTTTAGTTAATGCTTACCTGGAATGACTTCCAGTATAAAGTCTTCGTAACTAGCGCGGTTATATCGATCTCTACCAATGCACCTGTATAATCCAGCGTCTGCTTCTTGAACACCTCGTATTACTAATTTGGAGCCATCGCCGTAAGTCTATTGCAAAAAACCTTTCGATTAACAATTCTTCATTTTGTATTAAGCACCTTAATTCGAGATTTTGAATTCCTGTAGATAATACGTATTTTTCGTTTTCCTTTTAACTTTTTTAAATAGCCTCGTTATTTGCAATTTTCTAAAAAAGTAAGGCTTTCAATCAATTTTGAATATACGTGAGGCGCACTATAAGTTTCCAGAATGAATAAGAAAAAAATACTATAAATGGTCAGAAATG